CACACACAGCAGGAGGTCGTGCCAACGTAGGGTACCTAGGACACTACTAGACTTAAGAGGGAAGACGCGACCCAGGCCCCTCCCCTGCCGTCCCGGCCCTGGTGGCCGGCGCTAAGACCCAGCGGGCGTGCCGCCGGCCCGGGCTCCAGTCCCACCCGCCAGCCCGCAGGGCCGCCCCTTAGCTTGGGAGAGCCGGCCGGCGCGGCGGGGGCATGGGTCGGGCGGCGTGGGGGCTGTTGTGGCTGCTGCTGGGCAGCGCCGGGGCGCAGTACGAAAAGTACAGCTTCCGGGGCTTCCCGCCGGAGGACCTGATGCCACTGGCCGCGGCCTACGGGCACGCGCTGGAGCTGTACGAGGGTGAGAGCTGGCGCGAGAGCGCACGCTACCTCGAGGCGGCGCTGCGGCTGCACCGTCTGCTGCGCGACAGCGAGGCCTTCTGCCACGCCAACTGCAGCGGCCCCGCGCCGCCCGCCGCGTCCTCCCCCGGGTCCGCGTCGGGCCCCGACGGCGGCCTCGGCGACGAGTGGGCCCGCGAGCTGTGGTTCTTCGGCCACGTCCTAGAGCGCGCTGCCTGCCTGCGGCGCTGCAAGCGCTCGCTGCCCGCCTTCCAGGTGCCCTACCCGCCGCGTCAGCTGCTGCGCGACTTCCAGAGTCGCCTGCCCTACCAGTACCTGCACTATGCGCTGTTCAAGGTGGGCACCCCGCCCGGGGCCAACCATCCCCGGGCCTTTCTCCGCGGCCGGTTTCCGCACCGGCCAGTTGGGGGAACGCTGCTCCCACCCAGAGCACGAAGCCCGCGATGCGCTCAGGGCTGCGGGCTCTGGCCCTCCTGACCTGCTCCCCACACGACCTCACCAGGCTAATCGGCTGGAAAAGGCGGTGGCCGCAGCCTACACCTTCCTCCAGAGGAACCCGAAGCAAGAGCTGACCGCCAAGTATCTCAGCTACTACCGGGGGATGCTGGACGTCGCCGACGAGTCCCTCACGGACCTAGAGGCCCAGCCCTACGAGGTGGGGTGGAGGGCAAGAGGGAGGAGGGGAGATATTGGGGTCCCTCCTGACTCCCCCTGTCCCGCTCCCCCCAGGCTGTGTTCCTCCGGGCTGTCAAGCTCTACAACAGCGGGGATTTCCGAAGCAGCACTGAGGACATGGAGCGGGCCCTAGCCGAATACTTGGCCGTCTTTGCCCGGTGTCTGGCCGGCTGTGAAGGGGCCCAAGAGCAGGTGGACTTCAAGGACTTCTACCCAGCCATAGCAGGTATCTGCTTCCTAAGGCTTCTTAACACAATATCCATTCCTCGCACCTGATCTACACAGTGCTGAGGAGCTGGACTGGACTGAAATGTTATCTAAGGGAGTCTTCTGTTTCCACAAAGAGATGCTGGGTGAAGAGTGCTATAGCCAGCAGTGTCCAAACTGCTAGACATCCGTGCAAACAGACAGTGGGGAGGAAGGGGTGAGGGAGAGGGCTCCATGGAAGCTTGGATTCATAAGCTTCCAGGCAGAGGGCAGAGCAGGGACAAAGCTTCCCAGGAAGGAAACAGCCCTGCAGGTGTGCACAGAAAGCAATCTGGCCTGAAATCACTCCCAGCCTTGGGATCTTTATCTCTAGGGTCCCTCAAGTCAGGGCAGAAAGAGCTACCCTGGCTTGGCCCAGGTAGCTCAGCCGCTAGGGTGCCAGCCAACATGCATTGGAGCTGGTGGGTTCAAATCCAGCCGGTGGCCTGCCAATCAACAATAGCAATTGCAACAACAAAAAATAGCCAGGTGTTGTGGTGGGCGCCTATAGTCCCAGGTACTTGGGAGGCTGAGGCAAAAGAATCACTTGAGCCGAAGAGTTTGAGGTTGCTGTGAGCTGTGATGCCACGGCACTCTGCCAAGGGCAACCTAGTAAGACTCCATCTCAAGAAAAAAAAAAAAGAGTTATCCTTTGTTTGGCCTTCTGGCTTGCCTCCAAACCCCTCTTCTCTTTGCACAGAATGCCATGGCTCCCTCTCTGGCCTGGAGTAGGGGTTGAACAGTGGGTGATAATTCACCCCTGCCCACAGTAATCTTCCTCAGCATCATGTATCTAAACTAACACACTAAACATGTTATCTTATGATTGCAACAGCAACACCTTTCCTGTACAAGGAAGCTCAGGAGGCAGAGCTGGGATTTGGAGTCGGTCAGTGGATGGCT